GTGCGTAATCTCATCCCAGGACAGTGTGAGGCTGACGTCAGGGGGATAGCTCAATACGCGTTCGAGGGATGGCGACAGGTAAACCGGTGAGCGTCAGAGGTGGTAGCGGGAAAAGACGTGGGTGGGGGGGGGCGGGTTTCATGGTGATTGCTGGCTGTTGCAGAGGTGGTCCGACCAGCAGTAGGAGCCGTGGTACTGCAACTCAAAAGGAACGTTGTTTTGTGCTCAACGAATAAATGATGGGCGCGGTGCGTGCGCTGTGTTGGTTTTTCGCGAGGGAACATGGCGGGGTGATCCCTCGGCGCGGTGATTGGGTGATTTGCTGATTTTGTGGGCAACGGAGGCTCGCCGAGCAAGCACGCGTGTAAGCATGGCGAAGCAAAACAAAAAACAGCCGAATAAGTCATTGCTATGGCCGACGACACCCCGACAACGCTACCCGCAGCAACACCAGAAGCAAGCCGCTACTGTGCCCCTCCCCCCTGTCCCTGTCCCTGTCCCTGTCCCTTCTCAACACCGCCGCCGCCGCCAACACTGATGCACACGGCCACGGCATATAGGTTCCGCTACCGGTTCCTGGTGTGTGTGCGATGTCCATCAAGGCGTTCGGAGAGCGTTTTTTGGCGTGCCCGGAGCCGGAGTTCGCTCTGCCCGGGATTAGAGAGCTCCCGGCGCTTTCGTTCCCCCTGGGTCTCCTCCTCAGGCAAGGGGGCTCCGTGTTTGAAGACCTGGCGTTTGTTGATGGAGAATGAGTTGGTGGATGGACGGGGCGTACTCGTGTTTCGTATGCCTAGTGGTTATAGGCCATTGATCCCCGATGGGGGGGGGAGGGGGGTTTACGAATGGTTGTCAGAGCTGATGGGCGAGGGCACTCTGATGGGGGATAAGATGTATAGGGAAGGTGGGTGTGCTCTAGTTTCTATTTTTTGGGGCGGGTATGCACAGGAGGTTGTTTGTTTTTTGTTTGTCCTCCAAGCCCCGTTGTTCTTTCCACCCCGAGAAAAGAGGGGCGGGAGGTCGTTAAGAGATATGCTGGCGAGGTGTCGAGTTAGGAAGAACAAGGGCTGGCACGTAGCAGTTGCGCTTTTTTGTCGAGTACCATTTCTCTGGACGCCCTCGGCAGCAGGCAACAGGGGTGTCATTTTTCGGTAGGTCGGGGTGATATATTGCCTGTCATAACGTGCCGAAAGTCATGAAAGAGAGATTGGCGTGATGATGATGACCCGCCGCTTGTTTCATGGACGCTTAAGAGGTGTCTGCACGCAGATAGGTTGGGGTGACATTGCCTGTCACAAGGTGCCGAGAGCCATGAAAAAGAGATTGGCGTGATGACCCGCCGCTTGTTTTTTTTTCATGGGCGCTTACGGGCTGTCTGCACGCAGATCCCCGATGGTACTTGGGCTCAATCGTGAGTATTTGCTACACCATGTTTTGTTTTTTTTGTTCGTCCCGCAGATCTCTCCGTCCGAAGGGGGTCCTGGAGCTCTTCGCTGCGATACTGCAGGAGGGTCGCATCCTGCTGCACTCCGCGAAACCGGCGCTGTTAGCGGCGGTGGCGGAGGGTGTGTTCGCGCTCATGTACCCGTTGCAGTGGCCGTACGCCTACGTGCCCGTTCTGCCCAAGTGAGTCGATGCTTGATGTCGTAGTTACTGTTGTTGTTGTTGTTGCTGTTGTTGTTTGTTGTTGATATCGCCATGGTTGGTGGCATTGTTGGTAGTGTTGGCATCGTTGCTCTTTGCTGTGGTGGTGACTGCATTTGTGCAATTTTTTTTGTAAGGTATACATACCCTCACAGGAAACCCTACAAGTACCCGTTCGAGATATACCACCGGGTTGTTTCGTTTGTTGGGTGTCGCTTCCGTGTGGCCAGCCTTTTAGCTTTGTGAAGCCGCTTACGTTTCTGTGGTACAACCGCCGTGCACTGCTGTGGTTGTTCTGAGATCTGCCCCGTCGGCTCTTGATCGCCGATACTGTAGGTGGAATCTCAGCTCGATCATTGTTAACTCCTGGTATCGTTGCTCGATCCGCGGGCCGTTGGAGGTGAGAGCCGGCGTTTTTTCACAATTGAAATGCCCTGAATATTTATCTCCTCCTTCGTTCGTCGGCGTCTTTGTGCACATGGGCGACACCGCAGCTGCCTGATTGAACACGTGGAGTCACCGCAGCCGTTCATCCTCGGCGTGCACACCGATTGGCTCTCGGACATCGCCCCAGACGCGCTGGAAGAGGTGACACATGATGCTTCTGTTGGTGGTGTTTTTTTACCTTGCCCTCCAGTCCAACCTGTCTATCCTAGTGTCAACCTCGCCCCCCCCACCGTACCCACCGAGCGTCTCCAAGCCGGGTTCCCATCTTCCCATCGTACCCCCTAGTGTTGTGGTGGTGATTTGTGTGGCGGTAGGCGGTGGTTGTGTGTCGTTGCGCTGGGCGTCGTTGGCGCATCAGGGGTGCTTCAGACACTTGCAAGCGATGAACCACTTGAACTTGACGGCGGCGGTGTGATTACTTCCACATGGCACGTGATGTTCTTCACCCCTGGGCGGGGGGGGCTGTGTTGGTTCCCTCATTAGCTGTGTTCCAAGTACTTCGCGGGCACGGTTGAGAGAGCGGCGCCCTTGGCTCGAGTCCCTCGCGAGAGCAGGTTGTTGCTGCCCATTCCCGCGGTGTTTTTGACTCTTGTCTCCCTCCCTCGCTCGCCCCCCGTGTGGTCGTCTCGCCGCCGCTGCAGTTGATCATCGTGGACTGCGACCTTGGGATCGTGGACGGGCAGGGGATGGAGCAGCTGCCTCCCCCCGTCCGGCGGTCCCTCACCAAGGCCGTCCGCGCGGTGCTGCACGGGAACCTCGGGGGCCTCGACGCCCCCGCAAGGCTGTCGAAACCCGAAGCTGCCTCTGCTGCTGCTACGGCAACAGGAAGGAGGGCGGCGAAGGGCGGAGCACCGTCCTCCTCCTCCTCTGCCCAGAAGAGCGGGTACCTGGCCAGCGGTCCTGTGGGAGCTGTGGGGCTTAGCGCTTGGACGGATCGCGACCGGCGGGGCGCCGTCGCGAGCGGAGACGGGACCGGCGGGCAGGGGGGCGGCGAGAAGTCAGCGGAGGTGGGGGGAGATCAATCCATGGGAGGAGGCCGGCGTAGCGGTGGGGAGGTGGCGGTGCGCAAGGCGCGGAGGGGGAGGGCGCGGGGCGCCGCGGCGAGGGTGGAGGCGCTCTTGCGGCTGGAGTTCGCGCGCGCGATGGCGGACATGCTGTACGGGTTCACCGAGTGCTTGTTTTTTCTGCACCCTGATAGGCCCATCTTCAACGGCGCTCGGTTTCTGCAGGTGAGTTGGTGGTCGGGGCGGTGTTACGGTTATCCCGCTGTTGTTGTCGTTGTTGTCGTTGTTGTCGTTGCTCGATGGTCCTGTTGGTTGACACCATGCAGGAGACTGGGGAGGTCAACCACCGGGCAGCTTGTTGTCACCGTCGCTGTTGTTGTCGTTGGTCGATGGTCGTGTTGGTTGACATACCACTGGAGACTGGGGAGGTCAAGCACCTGGCAGCTTGTCGTCGTCGTCGCTGTTGTTGTCGTTGTTCGATGCCCCTCTTGGTTGACACCTTGGTAAGACAAACAGCCGTTCATATAAAGCGCTGCTGGTTTCCCTCCTCGCCCCCCGCTCTTGCCTCACCCTTTAGAGTGTTTAATCCTTTTTTCTCTCACGGTTTCGGTGTTGCATGTGCGCAGGAGTACTGCGAGGAGTCCTACGTGCCGTTCATGTCCGTGGTGATAGACACCCTGGCCTTCAAGTACCTCCTGGAGACGCAGGACACGCCGCCGTTGCGACCGTTTCACGACCTACTGGACAAGGCTCGCAGGTGACGCTCGTGACGAAAGGAGAGATGAGGGGCAAACCTGTGGAGTTCGCTCACCCAAGTCAGGCTTGTTGAGTCTTGTTTCCTGCACGCTTCGCATGTTCCCTTGCGTACCTCCTTCCTCACCCCCCCCCCCCCCCCCCGCCTCCCGAGGACCCGGGGGCCACAACTAAAGCAAGCAAAGGGGATCCCCCCCCCCCCCGGGGAAGGAAAAAAAAAAAATCCCCCCCCCCCAAAAGGTTTGGGTGTAACCCCCCAAAATC